ATTAATTGTTTATACTTACGAGATAAACACAATAACAATTTTTTTTAATGGAAACCTACCACAATTTTTTTTTAGACAACGAGCTTATTGCAAGAATTGTTGCTGTGCCTTTTTTTTCTAAACCTCACTTTTTTGTTAAAAAAAAATTTTTTTGAGTAAATTTCCAGTTTTTTTTGGAAATAAATTAATAAATGTTTAAAAGAAGCGATGCCAAAATATTTTTTTTAATTAATTGTTTAAACTTTTGAGATTATCCTAATAATTTTTTTCTTAAATAAAAACGGTTTTTTATTTATTGTTTTACAAAGATATGTTTATGCATTTTATACCTGTACAAAAATATTTATTAAAAATGTTACAAAATTATAAACATAGAAGAAACAGAAGATTGTTTTAAAAAACATACAATAGAATTTGAGTATTTTTATTCTACCTGATGACGAAATTTTGGTTCACGAAACACTATCGAAGTTTATATGTTAAGATTTTAATTTTATTAATTTTTAAAGTAACAAAACATTGTTACAAAATTCTGAAAATTTGTGATGTATATTTTAATGCAAGTTGCTGTGAACTTGGAATTGCGGAGACCATTTCGGATAATTAAAATAAAACAAGAACATCAAAAAATAAATTAAAAAAAAAAACTAAATACTTTTTTGTTTTCGTGATTTAGAGTACTTTGCTTTCTTCGTTTTTGTCACACTGTAGACAAAAATTGTAGTCATTTTATAAAAAACAAAAAATACTTTGTAAAAAAATCCACATAAAAAATAAAACTAAAATTAAGTTCATTATCGTCTTGTCAGAACATTCGACAACCAACTCCTAGTTTTTTAAATCTAACAAATAATCCAGAAGCAAGTTGCTTTATTTTTATGCTTTTTTCATATATCTAATATCTATTCCAAGTGGCTTTGAACAATGCAAAATTCAAACTTCTTTAATTTGTCTCTTTCTAACCAAGAAAAAAAAAGTCATTTTAGTGCGTTACCATAGCCACAACAGACACAATATTGACTATTATAAAAATCGTATTTTTTAATTCAGCTTGTGAGGAGTCATTAAAACAAAAATGAAAAATTTCTTCAGTGGTAGTTTGATGGAAACGGTGTGTTATCTAATTGTATCTAATCCTGCCCTGCCCCCGGAGTATTTTTCGGGGGGAAACGCGAGATAGCGATCGTGAAATACCTTGAACCGGAGTAATTATTTACACATTAGCAGCGCCGCCGTAATTATATCTAGGAGCTGTACCACTGTTATTATGTTTAAGACTTGAAATTAATACTTTAATAGCGTAATTGCTTGCTCGCTCAAAAAAGCCCTAATTATCGAGAGTAAACTCCGAGGTTTTGCCATGCAAATGCCAATTCACTTTTGTACAAGATGTTGGTTTTTTTCCCTCTTCCGGAAATTTGCACACTATTCATCAAACTGTCAAAATAATCAAATTAAATTTTGATTAAAAGTAGATTTAGACGCGGTTAATTACCACTGGGTCTGATGATGGAAATGCAACCTGTAATTAGCCGAAATGCTCCGTTTAGAGGATTTTTTGTCGAGGCTGCCGTCATTTTCTAACAAATTCAAAAATTGACCCACATTTTGATTAATGTTTGAGTAATCGGAATTAATCAAAAATGGGCGCAGTCGGGCCCCATTTCTCGCGAGTACCACCCTGCATACGTCGATCTGATTAGAAAATTTAAATGTTGGAGTGGATAAAAATCCCCGAACTCGTGTTCAGGTTTCCTTATATGTTGCTAAAGTCATAAATAGCGCGAGTTTCTTGCACTAAGACATAACACGAATAAACAAAGACATCTCTTGAGGTCAATGGATTTTTTCAGGAATAAATCTCGCACAAATGTGAATATATTCATGCATAAGTGGTTTCATGAAACACATTCCAGTTTTTTGACGATGATTATCGTCGTAGTGGCGAATGTTGAAGCGAATTAAAACGTTGTGGTAATTAGTGTACAACACCGGGAATAATGAGAAAATTTGTCGTCTCGTGGTCGAACATGAAGTTTTTGAGGTCACACCTGTGCTTCTTTTGAATTGTTAATTTGTTAATGGTGCGCGTGAAGGACTGGGAATTTACGCGTTTCCGGGCGATTCTCGTGCGCACGCCGAAGAATTAAAATTAAATCGTAAAAATTGAATTTTATTGAACGGAATTAATTAATATGCCAACTGCGTCTCCCAAACATATGTTAATTCATTGTGTTTGGTTAAGTGGCAAAAGGACGCCAACTTTATAATAATGGTTAATTAAAGTTAATTCGAAAACTTTATTTTTTTGTCGTTGAATAATAAATAAACAATTATGTAAAATTTGAAAAAAGTTTCTCCAAAAATATTAGTTGTAAAAAATGGAACTTTAAAAGCAACCGCAGTAACAAAACTAAATTATTAATTCACCAGAAAATATTTTCTTATTAATTCATTAATTACAAATTAGAGACGAAAAATCAATTTAAGGCTTGTCAAAATTTCTGAGAATTTTTTCAAGATTAAATCAAGATGTTAGAGTTGTTGACAGATTTAGCATTTTATCAGTGAACTATCTAATTAAAATCAGGTATACTAAAAACATCACGTTTTTTTTCAAGGATTTAATGTTTCAAGAACAATTCTTATTATATTTGAGAAGGAATAAATTTTTAAAAAGCAATTTGTCCAAACTTGCATTTTTGCAGGAGAAATCAAAACTGCTTCTTTTAAGAAATAATTTTAATGTTTTATATCAGTGACAATAAATGTGAAAAAAATTGTACAAATTGGACACAAGTACTTAGGCATTTTACAAAAATACTTTAAAAACCTTTATCTCAATTCATAAAACCATGGACAAACTGCATTTTAAAAGTCTGCTCCTTATTTATGAAAATAAATTAGTTTTCTTGCAATATGTTTATTTTGAAAACGAAGGTACCACCTTGCAATTTTTTAATTAAAAAAATAGCAAAAGAAAAAGTACGGAAAAGTAATTTTTTTTTCTTAACTACAACTCTAATTGTAACTTGAAATCGATAAATTTAAAATTTTTGGTTAAAAAGTGTTGCATAACAACTTTCATTTTTAGAAAAGATACTTTTCAACAGGTAAAAAATCGATGTCAAAACTTTTGTTCAACAGATAAATTCATAAATTTTCTGGTTCAATAACTTTAAATTCGTCCATTCTGATTTGGTAGGAAGAAGTGTTGCATGGCAAAAAAATAAAAATAAAATAAAACATAAGAATTATAACATAGGTCTCGACAAAAAACTAAATTATTAAGTAACCAAAAAGCATTTTTTTAATCAAGTAAGAAAAAAAGCAAGTTTTTTGCAACAATCAACGAAATAAAAAGGTCTAAGCTCCACAAAATTTTAAAACCTTAGAAAAATAATATTTTCCTACGAAAACTTAATTCTGATCGCATTATGTAGAGATAAAAATATAACTTTCTGAATCGATAACTTTAAAATCGTACATACGCTGTGATTGGTTGCGTACAGTTGAAAAGAATTTCAAATAAAACTTAATTTTTACAACAAAGAGTAGAGTTTTATTTAACATTAACTAAAGAAATGAAACAAAATTTAGGCCTAAATTACCGAAAATTGTTTAATAATATGATCATAACTAAAAAATTATAAAACATTCTCAAAATTTGTTTTATTGATATTTAGTGTAACATGCTAACACGATAAAACAATAACTCGTAATAAGTTAATTAATAAATAAAATAATAAAGAAATCGCATGATGGATGTTGTTTGTTTTCAACTCAAGCACTTTTTGCATGTTTGCAAGTTTTTAAAGGTAATTAATGAGATTATTATTTAAAATTCAAATGAATCTGCAACAGTTATTCAAAAATAACAATAATTGCTTGTAATTAACGTCCAATTAGGCCTATTGTAGACATACACAGGATGTCATACTTCACTATTGCTGACCGACGGAAACTAACATCGGTCATAAACTCAAACTAATTAAACCAAAATTTSAAAAAACAATTTTGAAACAAATTCTTACAACTTCTAATCTCACTTAACCTTAATTATCACACCATTTTAAGTATTACACACTCGACCAGTAATTAGCGGTCAAGCTAATTCATAATTAAACCACACAACACAAATGCGGTTGCGAAAAAACCCGCCATAATCGCAAATAAATACCCAAACACGTACAGTGGGTAGGTAAACAATTTTTCAGAATGATGACATCACCATTATGGAATATTGTACCATTGTTAACCGCACATGAATGCAATAATAATGCCAATTACAAGCCCGGTGGGCCCCCTGCAATCAGTGTCGCCAAATGTCAAATTTAATGAGACACCCTGTATTTGAAACTGTTTCAAAATTATGTTTTTCCACATTTTCCACACAAAGTAGGTTTAACGACCTAACCCCCAAGTTTAATTTAGTTTAGTTTAGTCAAAAATTAAGCCTAACCGACCCACTTTAATTAATTTTTTTTGTTTTTTGCGTTTTTCCTCAATTACAATAACAAGCCCGATAGGCCCCCTGCAATCTAAGTCAACGAATGTCAAAAAATCCCAAACTTTATGTGACACCCTCTACTTAATCCTGTTCCAAAATTATATGTTTTTTTACATTTCCCACACTCCAAAGTTTGATGAGACTCCTTGTATGTCTCAAAATTATATGTTTAGTCAAAAATTAAGCCTAACCGACCCACTTTATGAGACACCTTGTATTTTAATTTTTTTGTTTTTTGCGTTTTCCCTCAATTACAATTACAAGCCCAATGGTCCCCCCTGCAATCTAAGTCACCTAATGTCAAACAATCCCAAACTTTATGAGACACCCTGTATTTGAACCTGTTCCAAAATTATATGGTTTTTTACATTTCCCACACTCTCAAGTTTGATGAGACTCCTTGTATGTTTCAAAATTATATGTTTAGTCAAAAATTAAGCGTAACCGACCCACTTTATGAGACACCTTGTATTTTAATTTTTTTGCCTACCTCCCGGGAACCTGTGGGGGAAAATCCTGCCGTGCCTGGAGAGCAGCCAGGGATAGAGCGGGTAGCTATCCCTGGGCTGGTGGGTGGTGAGCGGCGACGGCTGGGGGAAGCCGTGCTGTCCGGAGGAGAGCGCCGCCGCCAACGCCGCTCCCTGGAAGTGCGCCGCCAAGGCGAAGGGATGCTGCTGGTGGTTGTGCACCATCTCGGGCTGGAGGAAGCCGTTCTTGGGCACCAGATTGGGGTCGTAGGTGGGACTAGGCCTGACCAGGGAGTGCGCCGGGATGCCCGGTACCATGATGGGCGGTTTGGGCGAGGCGGGCGACCGGGGCTGGTTGTCATCGCTGGAGGGCGAAAGCGGCGCCGACCCCTCTGAGAAGTGCACCGGCGAGTGCTGGGGACTCTGCCCCACGATGGAGTCGATCGAGAAGCCGATCTTGGGCTTGGAGGGCACCGCCACGATGGGAGTCGGTGCCAACGGCATCATGGTTATGAGAGTCTTAGCAAGCCATGGTCACGCACACCACATCGCACCCAACACTAAACACTAGAGTACCATTACGACAATTGCAGGCAATTACTGTTACTTAGCACCCGAGTACGTGCTACCGAGACCGAAACTCTTGAGCTAATAAACTGTTAAGAGGAGTTGTGAAGGAGGGGAGGCTTTTTGGGAGGGAGTGGGGGTTGTGAGGATTGTTATTGGTCGCTATTGCCCGGCCTGTGACTCCTAATAACAGGCTCGGATTGGTGGAGCGCAGTAATACAAATGGAATTACAACTACAAGCCCCGCCTCTTATTTTCACTTTGAAAAACTCGTTTACTCGGGTAAATGCTCGGATATTACACTTATGGCATAGGCACTTTTTAAACAAACAGGTTGGCGACTGGACTTAAACGCTTTTTTACGGCCTGAGTGACATTTACATGTTTTCTTTTTTTTAATGATTTAATTAAGAAGGAACGCCTTCCAATGCGCACGCATGGAGAGGGGAGGAGTCACGTCATAAAACTTGTCTAAATTCCTAATTAGACAACATACACACGGTTTTAGTGACACCCGAGATCTGATTAATTGACCGCAACTATGCCAAGATCAGGRCAAACTTTATTTGCACAAAATTYATYCAATTTCTATTATTATTTATTCAACACGTATTATTTATTCAATTGATTGGAAAAAAATCGACACATTATTTCCATTTAACCCTCGTATAAATTATGTGTTTTGAGGGGGAAATGCGATGTTTTTGACAAGTTGTTCCCCTCGTGGATGATGACATTTGATGGGAGATTGGCCGTGGGATTTTTACCGGATATTGTAAATTGATGACATGTTTCACTTTATTGTAAATAAATTGTGTAATTATTTTAATGGACGTCAATTAACTTGTGGTTAATTAAGTGTGAAGTTGTTCCATGTGCTGGAGTGGTTTTTGTACAAATTGGCGGCTAGGGCCGGTTTGACGGGGAGTTGGCCGAAACAGGTGGCGAAGRAAGTTGCAAAAGTTTCTATTTTTTAAASAAAATCAATTTTTTTATTATAAAATGAAAAAATATTGTCAGTTTTAGGCATCAATTGTATTTTAAAATTTACGGAAGGTTACCTATTCACGATATTTTTAAGTTATTAAATTACAACATTCATAAATTAATTTACATTCTCTATACTTATTTAGTTAGGAACAACAAAATTTTTGCTGGGAAATAAAAAATTAGTGTTTTTTTATTATACCAAGAAAGTACCTATAGAAACCAAAAATTTTTTGCTTAAACTGTAGTTTTTGAAAAAAATAGTTGATGAATGAAAATTTTTCAAATGACAATCCACCATAAAAGCTTATTTTTTACAAAGACTACACCTAATTTAAGGATTTAAGGATTATCATTTAAGGATCTATGTATCTATAATTTTTATCAAAATTTTTTTTTACATAGATAAGTTTTCATTTTAAATCAAAAATTGCATAAGAACTCAAAAACAAAACAAAATTTTATTCTCGAAACACGATCACTTTATTCCTACATTGCAAATGATTAAAAAAAACGCTTGATTCCATACTTTTTGTTCACCTTAAGTATTTATCGAGTTTATATACAGCATGTTCCAAAATTTGCAAAACAATAATACATTTTAAACTTGACCTGACCTAACCTTACTTATTTCAGTGGGTAAAATAATTCCAAATATTAATTCATTGCATGTTATTAGAAAAATAAACAAAGAAATTCAAGGTATTCTGATTTGGTTCTCTATTCTTAACGTTATTTATTGTTTTTATGGTCAGGTCAAGTCAATATTTTTGTGTATTAACTTAAAAAAAAAACGTGTTGCAACATCACAGATAACAATAAATAAGATCAAATATGCAAATTTTAAACTCCTATAGTAACAAAATTATTATACAGGGTGCGCCAAAACTCGCGCCCAGAAGAAAAATGCCATGTAAGGTAACATATCAAGAACATGGAAAAAATATTTAAAAAATTCTATCTGTAAAAATTTAGGTAATGAGGGTTTAAATTTTGCACCTTGAGTCAATTTGTTTCTGTTGAAAAGATACCTAGCTTTTCAAGTTATTTTGATACAGGCTATTAGAAGAGAAAACAAGGAGACTGTATCTTAAATTGTAACTCTGTTTAATGTTATTTGTGGCTTTTATTAGCAAAATTTTTGTACCTTTACTAAACAATTATAAAAAAACGTATACAAGGTCATCAGTATCATTAAATAGACATAACAAAATGTCAAATGTCAAAAAATAAGTGTCCAATTTTTAACAGAATTTATTAAACACTTTTTCTATGTTCCTGATGTCTTATCTTACCCTATATTACGTAGAAAGAATTTTTGTTACATTAAATGTAGATGTTTTTCCATTAAAATTTTTGCAGATTGATTTTGTTACGCATTTTTGACCAGTTGGTGTAAAAAAAAATGTTATGAGATTTTTTTCCTAAAGTTGTTTTTCTGTGACAATTTTTTTTCTTTTTCTTATAGAATTTAGGTACCAACAATTTGATAACATTTTTTCAAGTTTTGACTCTTCAAACAAAAAACAAAATGATTTCTAAAAAATAACAATTGTTTGACATTTTTTAAAAACTTACGACACGATGTAAAAAAAACTTGGTTCACGTAGTATAATAATGAGCCATAAAGAGAATTTTGGTTTGGGACACCTATAGAAAAGTGAAATATTTTCTAAGAAAATAATTTCATAATTTAATTTATTAATTCGTTTAGTATGTTTGTGAAAACGTTAAACATTGGTGTGATAAAACTTGTCATTTTATGTACTTATTTTTTTTAAGTGTAGATATTTTAGTCTTCAAATCTTTAAATAGTACATTAATTTTGTAATAGATAGGTACTTTTATCAGAAACGAAAAAAACTGAGAAAAACTTCAGATCCTAAAGAAAGAAGAATAATTATTTTATATTTTTAGAAAAGCTCCAAATGGCGAAAATTTTGAAATACATATTTTAAAGAGCTTTGATGTAGAAACATGCCAAAAAATTCGTAACGTTTATTTAATAAAGAAATTGCCCGTTTCGTTGATACTTTGAGCAGATGTTGATGTTCGTTTAATTGATGCCCAAGTTGAGCAACATTTTAATAAACTCTAAATCGCGAGAGCGCGTTGATGTGCCTTAAAGGATAATTATGCAAATTCCTCGCGTATAAGAAAATTGCACAGCGACCAGCGCGCACGAAAACCCGACTTATTCCTCTTACGAAATTATTATAATTGTAACGATTCCACGTTTAAATTATTCAAATTAATACACATGTCAATCAGTTTTAATTTTTTCAAGAAATCGCCTTCTCAACTGCTCATTTGCATACCATTATCCGGTACATTTAATGGGTAATTAACTTCGTTTTGTCTTGTTTGCGAGCTGAAATTCGCCGGAAATTATTTAATGATGCTTAATAATCTAGAACGCACGCATTCCGCCCAAGGAAAATCCTGCAACGTTGATAAATTTCACGCCCATGACGATCAGTCGATGACACGTTTTTCGAACATTTATTTTAACGCCATTTACATAAATAATAAGTTTCAAGTCAAAAATCTATTTAATCAGAAGAAATGAAATTCCCTGTAATTTTGTGATTACTGAAATGAATAGATTATTTATTTTAGGAGCCGCGTCCCAAGTTATTTACGACGTGACTTTCATTACTGCACGCTGAGAACATAAACACTTAAATTCGTATCTTTTCTTTTTTAAAATTACACGTTGCTTGTTTTAAATTGATAATTCCTCGTAGAGTACGATCCAGGACCGGTCTGGCCTCCCCGAAATTGTCATTTTTCGATCGATTGCGAATAAAGCGTGTCAGATAAGGGCCCCACTTGGGTCCGGTGCTGTAATGGTCCATCGCATTATAATTATACAGATTAAGTAAAGTCGAGAAAACTACCTAACTAATGTAGCTTAATACGAGGGTGGGGTTAGAATGTGAGTGCGTGTGGGACGGTGAATGAGGAATGGTCACAGTCTAGCCATCCGATAATAAATCGGAGACTGGTTTTTGATATTTTGAAAATATAATTACACGTTTTCGTTCCGTAATGGAATACCGCGGCCGGCGTTACCGGGACGGCAACGGGGCTGGCGCGAGGGGGCCCCGAGTGGCCCCCTTGGCCGCGCTGTATCGGCGATGACCCCGTCCATTCAGCATATTCAAACATCACGAATCGAACCTTAACGCTAATGATAGGAATTAGCCGGCCGTTCGATCCACCGCTAATACGTAGTTTAGTTACAAATTCAGCCTCCAGGGGGATAATTTACCAAATTACCCGCCATAACACTTCAAAATAAACAAGAAAACAAGCCACAATCGCCATCGACATGATCGTGTACTGTTTATTTAAATAAAGTCCGTTATTTATGGCGGAGGTGATCGCTGGAGTAGTAGCGACCTCGTTAGCACCTTTACTCTGCAGCCCCACGAGGGGAAGGGTCACGACCAGAAAAGGTTTCGCCATAACGGGCAAATTACAGACAATTCCTAATTAGACGCTTCGCAGAAATCAATTGTTTAACAGAAAATGCCAACGCTTTTTATATCATTGACTATACCTTTTTCAAGTGTAATTCAGAAACCATCACATTAGTCTATTTAATTTCAGAAAGCGTAAATTGTAATTTAGATTAGTCAGAAAGTATTAATTGTAATTCAGAAAAGTAAAATGAGTTTCAGAAACCATGAGATGTAATTCAAATTAGTTAATTTAATTTCAGAAAGCATAAATTGGAATTC